CAATTGTGTAAAGTTTTTTTCTCGATAAAATAGGAAACAAAATATCAAATAATATTCAATTATAAAATTATAAATGTTAATAATAATAATAATAATAATAATAATATTGATCTGCAGTTTACAACGTCAAATCTGTCGATTTCCCAAGTAATAATTTTGAAATTCGTCAGGTTTGACGTTGTAAACTTCAGTTCAATATGATAATACCTAATAAATAATAAAATAATAATATTATTATTTTTATTATTATTATATAATATTAACCATATTATTATAATAATATCATAATAATTTAATTCTAATTCAGAAATCAATATTTAATTTAAATGAATTAATTAAATATTTAAACAATATCAATTATAAATTATAACAATAGTAATTATATAAATTGCTAACACTAAAAAAATATGAAATATTATTAAAAAATATGTTAAATATAAATAAATATAAAAAATAATAAAATATAAATAATGCCTGAAAATGTGAAGTGAAATTATAGAGTTGACTACAAATTGTGTAATAGTGGAAGTAATTAGGTACTTAAGTGGGGCTCTCTCTCTCTCTCTCCCTCTTATGGGTGTAAAAAATGGCTTGTTTATTACTGCTAAAGGCATTTCCTGCGGTTTTGAGTGTTTTATTGAAGTGTGATTAATCAGCTTTAGTGACGTTGTTACTATACGCCTTCAAAGTGTTAATTACTAACCTATTTAGTGCCTTTGCAGTAAACATAGATTCGAATTTGCACAAAGCTTTTACATAAATGAATTATGCATCTCCATTTGGTAGCAGTAAACACCACTGCTAACGATTAAAGACTTTTTACTCTTTGTTCACATATTTACTATTTACATTTACATTATATACTCTTGACTTTGTTTTTTCTACCGCTTTCTTATCATTAAAACACTTTAATTTGCAATTTACTTTTTCATTCTTTCCTCTTCCGGTCATTTTATTGTACTTTTTACATTTTCTTCTACCTTTTTACTTTCCTTTACTTTCTTTTTAAAATAGAAAAATTTATTTTCCCCATTACGTTGTGAATGAAAAAAGAATGAAACTACAAAAAAATACTAACAATAATAATAGCAATTTATTTATATTTTACTAATAATTATTAACATCAATATTAATTAATAATAATATTCTAAAAAAGTGGATTTTTTCTATCTCTGACAATAGTTTATTTTAACGCAATCTTAATAAATATTAAAATTCTTCCCAGAAATTCAGTTATTTTCAAAAATTTTTTAAATGTTCTCGTCAGCATTTTAATTATCTTTCGGCAATAATCAAAATTCTGCAACAAACTTCAATTTTATTCAGGAATTTTAATAATATTCATTATAAAACTCAATTATTTTCATAAATAACAATATTCATCACAAGAATTCAATTAATTTAATTTTTATTAAAATTAATAAAAATTCTTCGTAAAAATTTAATTACTTACAAAAAATCATAAAAAATTGTCGTCAACATTTCAATTTTTTAAATAGCAAAATTTTTCGACAAAATTCAATTATCTTTTAGGAATTTTCATGAAATTTATTAGAAAATTTAATTAATTTCAAAAACTTTTTTTAAGTCAATGATTTTCAATATTTTACTATATTAATAAAATTTTTAAATTAGTTTCAATTTATTTATCATAAACAACAATATTCATCGCAAGAATTCAATTATTTTCAAAATTAATAAAATTAAATTATTTTCAAAATTTTTTTAAAAATTCATTGCAATTATCTTTGTACAATATCAAAATTCTTCTACAAACTACAATTTTATTCAGGAATTTTAATAAAATTCAATTATTTTCATAAATAACAATATTCATCGCAAGAATTCAATTAATTTCAAAATTAATAAAATTCTTTGCAGAAATTCAATTACTTTAAAAAAATTATAAAAAATTGTCGTCAACATTTTAATTATATTTATAAATGAATACCAAATTTTTTTGACAAAATTCAATTATTTTCAGGAATTTTAATAAAATTTATTGGACAATTCAATTAATTTCAAAAACTTTTCTTAATTCAACGATTTTCAATATTTTACTATTTTAATAAACTTTTAAAATTCTTTTCAGGGATTTATTTATCATAAATAACGATATTCATCACAAGAATTAAATTATTTTCAAAAGTAGGGGAATGTAGTCAAGGTTGGCCTACTGTCTAGGTAGGCCACTCGCGTTTTTTTGTCAAGTTCACTAGCGCCACCTACGCGCATTTTTGTCGAAGCTTGTCTTAGTGAAACCTAACTTTTTGTTCAATTACATTTTCGGAAAATCGAAAATTGTGTTTTCTGTGACGTCGGTACAAAAAAAGCTCAAAAAAAGTTTTGTGCATAATGTGAAAAACCATTAATAAAAGATAAAAAACAAATTGAATCGTCAAGGCAAGTATGCAGAAAATTTGTGGGACTCATGGTTGAAAGGAAAACAAAGTAAAAAATCGAATCCCGAAACGTATTTCTTTTTGTTTACAACAATTCGGTAATGTTACTTACTGTCAAGGTCGGCCACTATGTGTTTAAAATGCGCAAAGATGACGACGAGCTACTTCATTTGCAAAAACTGCAATTCTGAATAACTCATATTATAATTGATCATCTTATTAATATTTTTATTTAATTTTATTAATATTTTAGTGCAAAACTTTTTTTTATTTATATTTATTTTTTTATATTGTTTATTGTTATTATTTTGTTATTTCATTAAGTTACAAACTGTAAACAATAAAGAATGAATTTTCCGTAACTCCAAACATGTTATTTTATTTTTTAACGATTAATGCCCTTTGAATTTTAAACATGGCCGACCTTGACTGTAATGGCCAACCTGGACTACAAATTTTTTTTTTTTTAAATCTTTATAACTTTTTCATTTTTAAACCTGTCAATTTACTTTGTACAGAAAAAATGTTCCTATTAAACAGGACTTTCCAACCATATACTTCAATTGTCCAAATTCATTTTTAAAAAAAAGTTATAAACAAAAGTCAAAAAGGTGGCCGACCTAGACTATGTTCCCCTAATAAAATTTAATTATTTTTAAAAGTAATAAAATTTAATTATTTTTAAAAGTAATAAAATTTAATTATTTTCAAAAATTTTAATAAAATTCATTGCAACTTTTCTTAATTCAATAATTTTTATAACTATTATTTTAATAAAATTTCCCAAAAGAATTGAATTATTTAAAAGCAATTTTGATAGATTTTCAATTACTTTTTAATACAATTTTAATCGAATTCCTCGAAAAATGTAATTATTCTTAAAAATTTTATTAAAATTCGTCGAAAGAATTCAATTTTTTAAAAACTTGTTTAAAAAATTATAAGATTTCAATTTTAAGAAATATTCAATTATTCAATAAATTATCTGTTTCTATTTAAATAATTCAATTCTCGTAGAATTTTCTAATAAAAATTGATTTAAAAATTGATTTCAGTAAAAGTTTTAGATAATAATTGAATTTTGGAGAAGGTACTAATAATTGCAATTTTTTTTAGAAATTAATTGAATTTTGTAAAAGTTTCAAATTAAAATATTTGAAAATTTGAATTTTTCATACATTTAATTAAAAATTCTATGGAACTAATATTTTTTCAAAAAGCTTAATCGAAATTTTAAAAAATCATTTCAAGTTTTTATTTTCGAATGTATATTTAATTGAAGAATTTTCGAATACTCGAAATTTCAGGTAAAATAGTAACAATATTCTTATAATATAAAATAATGATTTTATCAGTCGGTTAGCTTTAATTATTTTAAATTATGAAGAAATCGATTTCTTCATGTTTTACAAAAATATTTTTATCAGCTATTGAATTTCAAAATGTTTGAATTTGAAATTTTTGAAAATCATAATTCTTATGAAAAAATAATAGTAAATAAATATTTATTTAAATAAAGAAGTTATTGGTGTTTTTGAATAATTTTACAATTTTTATTACTTCTTTTAATTTTAATTTTATTTTCAAAATATTATTTTTATTAACTAAAAAATTAATTTTTATCTAAATATTCGTGCACAAAAAATATTTCGTTCAATAAAACGTTCAAAACTTTGTGAAAATGAATAAAAATTTTAGTTTCGTTATTTTTATTACCTAATAATATAAACTATAAAATAATAATGATTTATTAATCAATATCTATAAATAAAATCATATTTATAGTCTATTATTAAACAAATTGTTTAATAAATTATTAATAATATTAGTTTAGTGAGCGAGGAAAATTTTATATAATTCTATAATAAAGTTATAAATGAAGGAAATTTATCTCATATTGAAATTTCGTATAGCCAATTAATTAACAGATTAATAATTAATTGGGTTGGAAGAGAATGGATTTGCCTCGAATTTTTTTTGTTCGTTTGTTATTCACATGAAACGATTATATAGAAAAAATAATAATGAGAGAGAGGGAGAGTGAATGAGAGAAGGGAAGATGCGAATTGGAGGCTGAAGTTGAGAGCAGTTTTACGATATCCATGTCGTAAACGAGATAGTTAAATGCAGACAAAGAATTTTTATATGAGCATCAGTTTTGATATTTTATTTCGGGTTAATTTAATATTTTATGCGGAATAATACACTAGTTCGCTTAAATTCCGTCTCCCCCTTTTTTTCTCATTATATACTTCTAAATATTATATAAAAATTGAAATATAAACGAAAAATATTTTTTTTCTTTTTTTTGGAGGGTGAGGGGAAATTGTTAATTCAAATAAATCCAATAAAATATTTAAATTTGGAGAATTAGGTAGAGATATAATTTTCTTTTCTTTCTTTGTTGATAAAAAATGAAAAATAATTTTTTCTTTATACAAAAACAGTATAATGTTTTGTATTATCTATTATCAAAATAATAGGGGAATTAATTTTTCAGCAGAAAATTTTGATTTAATAATAATGAACAATTTTTAAAATCTAATAATTCGAAGTAAAATGAGTAGATTTTAATAAATTTTTTTTTATTTGTTTCAGATTTCTTGAGGAAAATTAATTTTATCAAAATGAATACAAGTTCCTTGTTAGTCAAACGAAAAGGAAGTGAAGCTGTGATTTGCACATGGATAATTAAATAGAATTATTTTAGAAATATTGGAAAAAAATGGTAATTATGAATTATTAATAATAATAAATTTTTAATTTTGCAAATTATTTAGTTCTTTTCAACGGTTTTAAATTTTAAAGTTTATTAAAGTATATATCGGTTAAGCGAATTCGTTATTAGAGTTGGATTTTCTCTCTCTCTTTCTCTCTCTCAACGATATATATAGATAGATAGTTGAAATCGGATTAAGAGGCCATCGAAGCAGTTGTTCAGGGAAGGAAAGGGGATCAAAGTTTACTGGTAAAGTTTCAAACTCCATCAAGCCAGGAAACCCTCAAACCAAGCTTTAGGTGTTCAATTGGTCAGTTCATTTTGGTGATCCCGCTGGACTCTAATTTATCACAAGTGTTGCAATAAATGTCCTATTCTATATTGCAATACACGTTTCATTGGGCTAAATGACTCGTAAAATTTGCAATTAAGCAAAACCACATCATTTTGGTTAACATTTTACAACCATTTTAACTTTATATATATATAGAATATTTATTGTTCTTCAATTCTACGGATTTATTTATTTCCCCATTTACCAACAATTTATTTATTTTATTTACCAAAAAAAAAAACACATTTGTACAGTTTACTTGAAGCACTTTGTATCTTTTTAATTTAAAATTTTGTTTTCAATATATAGTCGCAATATAATTTAAAGTTGTATAAATTTTTTTCTCCTACATTATAATGAAGTGTCAATATTCTGAAAGAGCATTTTCAATACAAGAAAATTTCAAACAGCAAAGTACTGTTGTACAATACTAAAAGCTATTCTTAGAAAAGTTTCCATTTCGGCAAAACAATATTAAGCACGACGACAAGATGAATGTAAAGTTAGATGAAATTGTTACCTGCTTCCAATTGAATCACTTAGAACAAATTCAATCTCTACTTGAGAACATTAAGAAAGTTTAAAAGGAGAAGATTTCTCCTTACTTCAATCGACTTGTAATTATATCAGACAGTCGATTGCAATTTACGTCAATTACTTTATAATTTCCTTATACACTATATTATCTCTCTTTCTCTCTCCCTTTCCCCCTCTCTCTCTCTCTCCCCCTGCGCATTATTCTCGATCTTTGACGCAATAAACAGTGAAAGAAAAGAAAATATATTTTTTTATATCTACTTAATTACAAATTTTCACTGAAAAAATGTTTCTTAGAAATTTTAAACCATTTCAAATTATTATAATAATTATTATAATAATTATTCTAATTATTATTACAATTATTATAAAAGTTTAAAACTCGAGAACACTCGACCCGACTCGGAATTTTTAATTATTATTATTAAAATTATTATTATAATTATTTTTATTTAATAGTATTACATTATTATGTTTTATATTTTTATTATTTTATTATATCTACAAATTTCTACGAAGTATTAATTTATAACTTAAAAATTAAAAATTTAAATACTTCCAACAAAGAATTTAGAAAGAAGAATTTAAGAATTAAGAATGGAGAAAATTTACATCTATTTTACAAGAAATAATTTCTGTTTTCCTAGAATTAAAAATCGATTTCACAATAAACAGGGAAGTGAAATAAAAAAGAGAATTTTTTTTTTAAATTGCGCACTTTCATTATATAAAACGTCAATTATATTGTAATAATACCATTTTATGAAAATTGGGGGAAAAATTTGAATGTAAATTGAAAATTGAAAATTAATCGACAATTTAATAAAACTGGCCATTAAAAAAACTGTTCATACATATATTTTTATGCTAAAATATTCATTAATTTTACGGTTTTATTAAAACTCTGTAGGTTAAATTATTTATCACCTGCCCCCTCCTTCTTTATTACTTGTCCCTTTTATTTTTTTTATGAAAAAAAAAATTTCTACAGCAGATAATTCTTTTTATTTTCAACAACTTTTGATCAAAAAAACATAAAAATCTGTGACATTCGAGCATTTTTACCAGCATTTTTTAATTAATTTTATTCATAGTCTATTATTAATAGTATTGGTAAAAACAGCGAGAATAATAATTGTAATAATAAAAAAAATAATAATAATAAAATTATAAATTTAAAAATATAAATTATTGTTTTTATTATTATTATTATTTTTTATTATTTTACCAAAATAATGAGAATAATAATTATAATAAAATATTAAAAATAATTGAAAAGTAGTGATATAAAATAAAAAATGTGAAAATGTGAAAATGAGTAAATGGAGGAAATCTTTAGAAGGTTTTGGAGTAATAAAAATTGATTTTTCGTTGAACAGTAATGGGAGGAGAGAAGTTCTGGTGGACATGGGGAATGGCACGTGGAACCGTACCAAACACAAGCCTTCTGATTGCATCTGAGGGAACCTTTTGGAACGCCTCTACCGAACAAGAGGCCTTTAACGTCACAGGGAACTTAACTTGGTACAACCCCGGTAATTTCTCCGAGGAGAAACATGATTTTCTCCTCATGATAGTGACCGCCAGCTTTCTCGCCCTTCTCATTCTAATCACCATTATTGGTAAGTAATGTTTCAACAAAAAGAGAAAAAAAAATTACTTCACTCTCAAGAATTTATTTTTATCTCATCTTAAAGTTACGAAAATTTATCATTTTTAAAAAGAATAATGTTTTTTTTTTTTAATAAAACGTCCTAAATACGTGATTTTAATTATAAAATTATTACGAAAAAAATGCTTTGACAAAAAACGAACAATAATAATCATTTTTTTTAACAATTTGTAAAAAAACATTTTTCTAACAAATTTTTAAAATATTTTCGCCTTGAAATTTTATGATAAATTTTTCTATATTTCAAACAGAGAATTTGTAAGAAAATATTCTTTATTTTAAACAGAAAATTTGTAACAAAATTTTTTTATATTTTAAATAGATAATTTGTAACAAATTTTTCTATATTTTAAATAGAAAATTTGGAACAAGTTTTTCTATATTACGAACATAAAAATTTTATTGTTTTCTTTGTAAAAATATATTCGTTTTCCTTAAAAGTTGATTATAAACGTTGTAAATTGCATAAACGTAATTCATGTGAAAAACTTTTAGTAAAAATTGTGAAGAAAATAATTAAAAACCGTTACAATAGTTTATTGAAAATTGAAAATTCAGTTAAATATTAATATTACTAACAAGTTTTAAACATGAATAAATTTTATTTTCAATATTTAAATAAAATAAAATTATTATTATTATAATAATGCAATAAAAAGGAAATAAAATAATAGAATATTTAAATTACAAAAATCTATTATAGACTTTATTTTAATGACGTAGAATATAATTAAAAACATTGATTAGTTTATTTACAACATTTGTTTACCCTCCATTTACAATAAAAATTTATTATCGTAACGAGTATGAAAAAATAACTTTTTTAAAATACGATGAAAAACAAAAAAATATAAAAGAATTTTCTTCTTTTTTCTTGAATCAAAGAGAATTGAGGGCTAATTAGAATTTAATAGCTTAGCGATTATGCAGACAATTCTCTACCATCCCGAGAATTTCTATTCAATAACCAATTACTGTTTTATGAAAGCAATTTGACACCTTCATTGTTCGCCAGAAGATATTGAATGGGGAAAAGGAAAAAAAAATATATGACGATGCAAAAATTCAAAAAGAGAAAAAAAACTAATAGTATAGTCACACAATAAATAGTTATTTAATTTGTATATTAAAAGGATGAATAATTATTATGTCATAAATGCTATTTTATTAACAAGTCATTTATTCTCTAAAGAGAAATAATTTACAATGTTACTCGAACTTTTTAACGTTCGAATAGCGATATTTTTTATTACTTTTTTAAATTTGTATTTTAATGGGAAAAATTGTTTTGCCCATCGAAAGAATTACTTTTTAATTACAGAAATTAATTTTAAATTACAAAAATTAGTTTTTAATAGTAAAAAATAATTTTTAACTGACAAAATTAATTTTAAATGACAAAAATTAATTTTTAATTATAAAAAATAATTTTTATTTGAGAAAGTTAATTTTTAATTAAATAAATATTGTTTTTTTTTACTTTATTGTCTACTTCAGTACAGTGATTTTAAAAAAAACTTCATAAAACACAAGAAAGTAAAATATTTAACCTAAATTTTTTTTATATATATAAAAATTCTCGAAGGTTGAATGAACTGTGAACGACGCGAAAAAAAAACTGTTCTAAAGTTTGAGTAGAAGTTCTAACGTCGTTGTTTCTTGCAACGATATAGAGCACCAACTTCCTGGAGTCTTTGGAAGAGCAAAAGACTGTTCGAGTAAAGAAATTTCGCTAGAGTTCTCACTGGGGAGTTTCCTTTTTACAATTTTTTTTTTGTTTTTATTGTTTTTTTCCTCATATTCTCCTTTTCCTTGTTGATTCTCCTATTCCTTCTTCTCTTTTCGTTTTTAGTAAGAAAAAAAGAAAAAAAATGAAATAAAATTAAGAAAAGAAAAAAAATTCTATCACTTTTTTTTGCTAAAGTGTGAAACATAATTTTTACAGAAAACTTCCTTGAAAGTTGAAAACAACACTTATTCACTCTCATATGGAGTCATTTTCACCATAAGTGTCTCACTATTTTTCATTATTTAATCACACTCTAAATTTTCCCTGGACATTTTAGTTTTTTTTTTTAATTTTTATTTTTAAGAAAAATTGAAGAATATAAATTTAATTTTGGAAGTTAATAAAAATAAGAAAATCATAATAAATAATGTTAAAAATAAATAAATAGAAGAAGTAGAAAAATAGTTAGTTCTTTTTATTTTTTTTTAATTGTAGTCTTTGAGGAATAAATTAAATTTTGGAAATTAAGAAGAAGTAGAAAAATTAATAGAACAAAACAATGTGTTATATTTTTAGATAAATATTATTATTTGCTGGTGAATTGAATAAATAATAATGAGGAAAGGAATGTGAAATAGTTTTGTTAAAATTTCCTTGGTTTGATAGAGTACCTATGGAATTTATAGTATGCAGTTACAAACTCGATTGAGTCATCTCAGATTCTCCTGATTAATGTATCCCTTCACGCTCGGAACTCCGTAATTATGTATTCAAAGAGATAACAATCTGATTGATATTGCATTTGTGCAAATTCAATCTTATTACGCAACACTTGATTGAACCAAAATTAAATTATTTCCTAATATTTCCAAGAGTTTCAATCATAATTAATTGTATAAGAAAATTAAATAATCATACAACGTCAAGTGAAATTCACTTTCTCGATATTAAATTTCAAATTATTAATTGCTTTCAATTAATAATGGGAAAAAGTAATAATAATAACAATAATGAAAAATTGAAAATAAATAGAGTAAATTAAAAATATATGTATATTAAAATAAAAATATTGAGAATTAAAAATAAAAAACCGGATTTTTAATTATTTTCAATTTATTTGATTGGATTAGAATATTAAACAATTAGAATATTATAATTATTAGAATTTTAGAATATTATAATTATAATTATAATTATCCTAATCGGATTATTATAATTAGGTATCCCGATCAGAATGTTATTATGCTAATTAGAATATTGTATATATTTAACATAATAATAAATACTATAATTATCATAATCAGAATATCGTACCTAATATTATCATAATTATAAAATTTATAATTTTAATTTTTTAGATTATATTTAATAATCAGAACGTAATCATAACAACTTTTGTAAAATAATTTGCGCACTTTTTTTTTTTAAAAAGTAATTTCAAGACAAGAGAAAGTGTAAACGTCTTGGGAATTAATTAGTTGAACCTAGAGAATGTCGCTCGTCTTATAAAGAATATTAATTGTTGAATGTTGTACTGCATTTTTCTTGTTTAATTAAATAGCAGCAGTGTATATACTATATATACATATATACACATAAGCACAAGAATAAGCGAATTCCGAGGAAGGAAATTGCACGCATTAATTGTCCCACAAGGTCAACACTAATGAGGGTCTTCGTTCTTTGAAAATTACGTAACTGGATTCAACTTCTTGTGACAACTATTATCTTGTAGTAAAAACATTAATTACAAAGCAGTCCCATATTTTGCTTTTTTGTTATTCTGGACCTCGATTTCTCTCTCTCTCCCTCTTTTACTCTCTATCATTATCAGAGAATCTGTTCCAACCCAATTATTCATTGATGAGAAAAAAAGAGTATTCAGTACCTTCCAGCTGAGTAGAAATATATTTTTTTTACTCATTAAAAATTCAAAACAATATTCAATAAGAAAAAAGGATCATTTGTCATAAATAAGGAGAATTGGGAGAATTATTACACTGATGGAAAAATTTATTTGATTTAGATGAATACTTACTTGTCGATTATAGAATAAATTTTTATTAATTTATATTCTACTAGTTGTAAAAAATAATTTGAGATCAATTTACTGTTTCTTATTTTAACAATTTCATAAAAATTCTCGGACATAAGTAGTAAACGATGATTTTGGTCAGACAGGACATTCAATTTACTGGTTCATTAGATAATTTTACAAAGCCTCGGATATAAGTAGTAAAAGATAATTTTAGTCAGACAAGGTATTCAATTTACTAGTTCATTAGACAATTTTATACAAATTTTTAGCCATAAGTAGTTAGAGAGGATTTTAGTAAGACTAGATATTTAATTTACTGATTAATTTTTAAAATATCCCGAAATCTCACACTTAAGTAGTAGATGAAGATTTTAGTCAGACAAGACATTTAATTTATTGTTTTATTAGATAATTTGACAGAAACTCTTGAAAGTAAGTAGTAAAAGTGGATTTTAGGCAGACAGGATATTCAATTCGTAGTTTTATTTTAACAAATTTACAAATTGTCGAATAATAAGTAGTAATAGATGATTTTAGTCAGACCAGACATTCGATTTACTGGTTCATTTTCTAATTTAACAAACTTTTGGTTATAAGTAGTAGAAGAGGATTTTAGTCAGACATTAGATTTAATTTACTATTTAATTTTTAAAACATCACAAATTTCCTGTATAAGTAGTAGAAGACGATTTTAGTCAGACAAGGTTTACGATTTATTGTTTTTTTTAGATAATTTGATAAATTCTCGAAAATAAGTAGTAAAAAATGATTTTAGTCAGACAAAATATTTAATTCTTTGATTTATTAAAAAAAATTTACAAATTCTCGGACATAAGTAGTAAAGGATGATTTCAATCAGACAAGGTATTTAATTTACTGATTCATTAGATAATTTTACAAATTTTTGTCCATTAGTAGTTAAAGAGGATTTTAGTCAGACAATATATGTAATTTACTATTTAATTTTTAAAATATCACAAAATCTCATGTATAAGTAGTAGAAGACGATTTTAGTTAGACATGGTATACGATTTACTGTTTTATTAGATAATCTATAAATTCTCGAAAATAAGTAGTAAAAATGATTTTAGTCAGACAATGTATACGATTTACTGTTTATTTTTAAAAAATTTACTAATTCTCCTGCATAAGTAGTAAAAGAGGATTTCAGTCAGACAGGACA